ACTCAAGCAAGTGAAAAAATAACGTACTCAGATAAAACCTAGGGTCATAAATGCACTTCATCAAGCTTCATGGCCTACTGGAGAGAGAAAATTACCTTCTTTGAGAAAACAATCCCATTGTTACTCCATCTTTGTAGTCTACAGATAATTTGCACACGCTTATACACAACAGAGCACACAGTCCCTCAAAAATTAAACACAGGGGTCTATGGCTATTCACATCAATAGAGCAGCCAAGGGGAAGTCAGAATATTTGGAATTAATATGCTGCATTTGCTGAGGTCAAGCTAACCAGAAAAATAGGCTACGCGCTGCTGCTTCACCTCTCTCACAGACAGTTCTCAAGATAACTCCCATGGATATTACATTATTCCTACTAGTGTGAAAAATATGAAGAACTTTGCAAAAAGGCCAATGTAATACTGGTCACACACTTGCTTTATTTTGATATAGGAGATGGTGAAAAGTCAACAGACATTAACACAGTGGATCCCATCATTACCTGGAAGGACTTCCAGAAGACCATGCCCTGGGAGATTGTCGTGTTGGTTGGAGGAGGTTATGCCTTAGCAGCTGGATGCAAGGTATTGATTTAGATTTTTACCTTCCTTCCTTCCTAAAAAAAAATTATAAACCTGGACTTTTATCTCTTTGTATGCTCCCCAGTTTGGATTTACAATGTGGATACTTTGTACCTACACCCTGCACTCAATGGACAGCGATCTAGCTGACAAAAAGATGGCTAGGGCTCAAGTCAATTGTGTAAACATCTGCCATTTCAGATGGCAGACATGACACAGGATCTGAGGGAGACCTCATACTTTCCTAGGTAGCAGCTAGCCAGACAGGGGGAACATCTCAGCTGTCACTGGATGCTCCTGCACTGAATGTGCAACAAAGGCAACTGCGTCAAGCTCCTAGTGCTGACTGGACAAATCGTACTCTAGGCTCTACTGACTATAGCTACATTCAGTATAATCCATGAATACACACCTAGCTCTCCTATAGATTCCTACATGTGGACAACCGAAGTTGTATATTTTAATCTCAAAATGAATTCTACCCAGACTGTGCAATCTTTAATCACCAATTTGCAATACTCCACTTCATGTGCTGAAGAAAGAGGAAGATCAGCCTTGATGCCTTTTTAATGTTATTAACTGTGCAATTTATCTCTTGCTTACTATGGACAATTATTTATTAGGCACTGCAGTGAAATCCAGTTTACTGAACAAAGGGAAATGCAGAAAGCATTGACCTAAACTTGTTTATTCGCTGGTGGGATTCTCTGATGCAAATTGCCCAAAAGAGAAGAATGTTGTTTTTTAAAACATACCAAGTATTTTAGTAATTCTTGCACTTCTGTCCTTTCTGCAGACCTCTGGCCTCTCTACATGGATTGGACGCCAAATGCTGTCCCTGAGCAGCCTTCCCTACTGGGCTGTAACTCTGCTAGCCTGCATTTTGGTGTCTCTGGTTACAGAGTTTGTTAGTAATCCAGCAACCATAACCATCTTTCTGCCTATTCTATGCAGCATGGTGAGTAAAAACAACGACATTTTTAGTCTGATGTTTCCTGACAGGCTCGTGGGAATGTTTCAGGATGTCAGGGTATTGGCACTCTGTTGACATGAAACCCAGCCTCAGTTCCCAAGCTACTGTTCTGCAGCCTTGGGCTTAGGAAAAATAATAAACTTGGGCAGCCAAAAGCATATTTTAGCACCAAGAAATTTATTCAGTACCTCTCAGACAAAGTGAAAATGTAGATCCCGTGCTGAGGGATGCATAGTCTAAGTACAAGAAAAGGTGACAATGCAATCAACAAATCAGGTGAAGTCCATATAAAGCTTGAGATACTCTTATCAATGGTATTTTAAATGTGTTATTCATTCATTAGTAGTCACCCACTCACTACTTGTAAGAAAAGACTCTAGTAGTGAATTTTTTATCAGATTTAAATGTGTTTGAGAGGGTGATCTGGTAAGCATACTACCATCCAACACGGAAAGCAGAGAAGTTTGTAAGGGACAGAAAAAGATTAGGAGACTGGTGACAAAGGCAGAGGAAAGAGATATAAATTTCATTCTATATTGGAACAGTGGTTACAGAAAACTGTCTTATTTCTTTTATGTAAAGTGAGCAGGTCATGTTTCTCTTTTATAACAATTTTATGGGATTGTCCCAAAGTACTTTATGTGAACAGTTCTGAGGTAATATGACGATATGGTCAGGTGAAAATAAATAATTATGTTTGTATGGCTTATGAGTCCAAATTTACCTCTGTCCAACGCAGAAAGAGACCCTCCTAAAGACAAGTTTACAGCAGTCATCTACTTTTAGTAGACTGAACTGCCATCTTAAGGCAGTCTCTCTGTTTTTACTGTAAAGTAGCCTGGAGACACTTCTTTCTCCAAAATGAAGTTAGCCTTGTGAATATCCTTCCCTTGCTCTCTGCCATAAAACTAGGCTGTAGCAATCTAAACGAAAATGCAAAATTTCACTACCACCAAAGCTGCAGTGGAAGAACAATAGACAACTGTAAAGAATATTCCATCATTACTGCCTTCCCACCATGCGAGTTTGGACCATGAACATCTACTTTTCTTAATCACCCTTCAGGAGGCTTTACATAATGGTCTTATTATCTTTAGCAACTGAGGAAAGTAAGTTCTTCATGCCAACCTGTCATGACTTCTCTTGGATGAAGACTGAAGTGGCAGTCAGTGTTAAGGTCCATAAGACACAGCACAGAATGACATGGAGAACAGGAGGGAGGAAAGAGCAAAGGCGGCCTAATAGTAGCAATCTCCACCCTCACCCAGTGTGAAATGGCTCAAGAGAAATCCCTGGAGCATGACCAGCTCCAAATTATAACGCTATCCTACTCTAAAAAACAAACAAAAAAGAATTCCATGCTTAGGTTTAGAAACATGGGAGGTGAGATTCACAGAATCTTGTTTTCTTCATGTGAAGCAGAGAAGGTCCTTTCAGCCTAATTATGAGCAGTGGCTTTTATTGGTTAAATTAGATTTCTCTCCTTCTCTCTCCTTCCAGTCAGAAACCCTGCTAATCAACCCTTTATACACCCTGATTCCTGTCACCATGTGTATCTCATTTGCGGTGATGCTGCCAGTGGGTAATCCACCAAATGCCATTGTCTTCAGTTATGGCCACTGCCAGATCAAAGATATGGTGAGTCTTGAGATTGGGTACATCTTCCCATGCTTCATGCAACCTCAACACCTTGTCCCGATCACATCCAGCAGCCAACAATAATAATGACGATATTGGTGCTAATATAAAGTCATATTGATCTGCACTGCTGTTAATGTGACTGAGCTGTCAGGTTAAGCATCTACACGTCTGCTGTAGGATACACACAATTCTTATCTTTATTTTTACATGAATGTAACGGTCTAAAAAGGTATCAAAGAACAGGAGTACACAATCCTTTGCATTGACCTGTTAAGACAAGCACAGGAGAACATGAGAAATTAGATTTATCACATAGCTCCACGGTTAGTCATGTAGTTATCAGCCTGCTATGTGTGGTACAACACCCCACTATGATTACCTGATTGAGAAGTTCAAGTGACAAACTGAGCAGGTTTCCCATGAGCTGCATCAACCTCTGACTATCACTCCTAAATACTCCTACAACGTACACTCTGATATGTAACACTCACTGTGCTTTTTTTGGCTTTAGAAATCAGTACACATACTTTATCCCACTATATATGTCAGTATACATACACACCCCTTAGTGCCTTCTTCTTTCCATGTTAACTGTTTTCAATCTAGTTGTCATTGATCACGCTCTGATGCATTTTACTTTTGTAGGTGAAAGCCGGCCTGGGTGTAAATCTGATTGGCCTGGCTGTCGTCATGGTGGCAATCAACACTTGGGGAATTAGACTTTTCCAGCTGAATACTTTTCCAGAATGGGCAGCAGTCAGCAACGTCACTAGCCAAACATAATCTCCAATGAAAAAAAAAAAAGACAAAAGTGCAAGACCAAAGCGAGTTGGGACAAAATATTAAACCTACAATGCACATATGAAAGAAAGGAGAAAACTTGTGTATAAATAGAACCAGGACCCACAGCGAACCATGAAGAAAATCCACAGGGAGTTCTTCGCAAAACCTTTTCCGTTCTGAAAATCAGCATGAGTTAAAAGGAGAGATTTGCTTTGCTTTGTTGTTGCTTTCTCTGTGATACAATAACTCTGAAAAAAACTCTCCTCCAAATTCTCTGCCTGTGGTTTTTTCATGCCCTAGAACAATTATGTAGGACTTGTAAAACAGGGGATATAAGAGTTCAATGGCAGAAGACAAGTATACATACGCTGGTACAGTCAGTAGCAGGATATTTAATCCTGCCATTGACTCCTATGGTGAATGAAGAGAGAGTCTTATTCCCAAACCTAGAGTTTTATAAGCCTACTTCTTTTAAAGGCAAATTACTATTTTTCTTTTGAGGTAAGTCATCACTGTGTTGGGAAAAAGAACACTTTCCCAGCTAATGCATATGGCTTGGAAAGAAATACAGTAACCAGCTACAGCACTTCAAAGGGATAATAGAAACCACTGAACAGGAGTAGTCTCCTGGGAAGGAGAATGGTTTTTTTTTTCCACAACACTAACACAGTTTCCAATATTGCAGTAGTTGCAATCTCCACTTTGGAAGGAAGAGGTTCAGAAACAGAAAGTTTTAGTCAATACCTTCTTTCCTCATCATTGTACTGCAGTGGGAGCCTCTTCAGCAGGGGAAGCTGTGACCAGCAAACTTGACCAGGCCAACATACCCATTGCTCTCCCCTCTCTTTGGCTGCTGTTTAGATAGTTCCGCAGTTATGATTCCCCTGACAGAGAAAGCATAATTTCATCCAAGATGGCACTCAGTGCTGCCCCATCAGTAAGAAGGGAGAGGGCTGAAGTGGAGTGGTCCTGGTATATCTCATCATCATGCGCATTCACTCGAACATCACACCCACCTGCTCTCTAGCATCTCTCTTCTTTAATGTCAGTGCATTTAAGCTGTGTATTAGGATGATTGGATCACATGTAATCACACTCTTTTTTTATATATATACATATATACACTAATGAATTTTTATGCTTTCCACTTATAATCTAGGCTCTCTAGATGTTAGTGTGAATGCCTATTCTGCATGCATAAAATGTCAATAAAATGAATTATTCACTACTGCATATTCTGGTGCTCTGTGAGAATACAAACAGGATATATTTCACCACATAACCCACCAAGCCCTTAGGGAGGTAGTGTTGAGACAGCGGGAGGTGTTGGTTTACTGCTTGTGTCAAAACAGAGGGATCCCACAGACTTGCCTTGGAAATAAACTGATACAGTAAGAGGTCATAGGTAGGCAGGGGGAAGCAAAACGTGCAAATCACAAAAGCACATCTCAGCCCTTGTACCAAAAGCAGCAAGCAGCATCCTTTAGCAAAACACCTTCTATTCGTAGTACTTCCTGTAAATTTGGTTTTGGAAAACAAAGTGTTTCTGTGAATCAATAGCTCAGTGCATCCCCATGCCCTCCTAATCCATGAAAGAAGATCTCAGCCTCACTTTTTCAACCCTTCTCACCTCCCCAGTTCCTGTGTTCTCCCTATCCTGAGCTTGCTGCTCTGCTGCACCCCAGCATATAAAACTGACACCTTCCTCTGGGATCCAGATCATCTACATCACTCCAGCTCCAATCCCTGGGTGTCTTCCTGCTCCCCAGCTGCTGCTGGGTGCAGACCCCGACACAGTGCTCAAAGCAGAGGTGCCCCCGTCCTCCCTCCCGCCATGAGCTGCAGTCCCCCAGCAAGCTGCACCCAGCACCAAAGCCGCTGAAGCAGGAGAGAGGCTGCAACGCCTGTCCACCAACATGGGCAACCTTCTCCAGGAACAAGCAACTCAGTGGGTGGGGGTGTCTGCAGTACCAAGGGTCCTGTCCCCATGCACAGCAAGCAGGACATCTCTGTTCACAGTCCCCAGTCATTCTCCCCTGCCAAGAAACTCTTTCCAGCTTGCTCTTCCCAAGGCTTTAGTTGCTCTGTGCCTTTTACTGAGCACTCGTCTTCTAATCCTTTTCACTTCACGCTTCATCCACCACCATCTTCAAATTGCCTAGCTGCTCAGCAACAAATCACTCTTCACCCCCTAATTCTTATTTCTTAGCTCAGCTCAGCTCGCATCAGGCCTTGCTATCCCATACATTTCCCAGGGGATATGAACACGGGATATTCTCATTTGCAAGAGAGACGAGCAGCTGGCATGCCAATCAGCTTTAGGGAGATCTAGGATTACTCACAAATCACATAGGGTGGCCACCAATAGCACTAGGGAAATGGAAATTACTTGGGGCTGCATTGCGCTTCTCCAGCAATATTTTTTTTCAGAAAGATTTCCATGAGTCTCTGGCATAGTTTGTGTCTCACAAGATTGCTACAGAGAAATTTGGAGTGGACTCAGGCAAGGAGTTTCCCCAGCAGCCTTCCCTCCTGTGTTGGTCCTCTCAGCTCACTTCCATGTCCACAGCTGCTGGCACTTGTCACTGCCGTGCCCCACCAGGCATTTGCAGGAAGGCAGCGTGCTGTGCTGGCCCTTTTTCCTTATCAGATCAGTCAGTGCATGCACCACAGCCAGGTTCTGCCCTTAGATGTACATGTATGATTCCTTTCACTTCACTGAAGACATAAGAAAGTACATGAGAAAATATTTAGGGGCAGAATCTGAGTATCACAAAGGAAAATAGCAACAGACAAACAAGCTTAGGACTGGGCAAGCTGCATGGCTCAGTGTGGCAGCAATGGGTGCTGATTGCTGCTTTTTTTTTTTTAATTAAACTAAATGGCAAGTGGACAAAGAAGTAGGAAATTTTCACCAGTAATTTATAGCATACTGTCACTCAACTTCAGACTTGTCTCTATCAATAACCAAAGCTGAGGGGAGAGAAGTCTGATTTCAAATTAAGTGATTTCCAGATGCTTTCAACATTAAACACATACATCAGGTCCTAAAAACAAAAGTTCTGCTTTCAGCCCAGAATTTCAAATTCCTATCCAAAAAGTATAATCACATTAACTAGTGGCAGTATACTATTTTATCTTACAGTTTTATATTACCTTTTACTAGAATCCTGTTACGGTTACATGTATATTTTTTTCACAGTGACATAAAACCCAGGCAATTTCACTGAAGTAAACTGAGGTGATTTACACTGAACAATTCTTCATTCTGTAGCTGACAGAGTAATGTTTTATTTCTCAGGAAAAAAAGCAGAGCATCAGAGTTCAAGGACCATCTGGACGATGCTCTTAGTCATATGGTTTAGTTTTAGGTAGTCCTGAGAGGAACAGGGAGTTGGACTTGATGATCCTTATGGGTCCCTTCCAACTTGAGATATTCTATGATTCTATGATAATCTGTACTTAATACTTGCACACAGGTTGTTCAGTTCTCTCTGGTTTGCAGAAAATGTGAATAATAATTTAAGAATTTAAAGAATTTAAAACAAGCCCTTATATTCTTTTTCATACATTGATTAGTATCTTACTGCTTTGGTAGTTGCATCTTTGAACCCAAAGGTGCAGTTGTCAGAGAAGGGCTCTAATCAGTGTGATGAAAAGGTTGCAGAATCTCTGTTTCCACACAGAAAACCAACATTTTGTTCCACCCCAGCATTTGGGCTCACAGGGTAGGAAAGTTACTAGTGAATTTATGGTTTGAGTTGGTGATTTACAGGAATGGGTTATTTAGGTATTTTCCAGATGTATTAAAGACTTTGGCAGAAAGAAAGTAAATTTGGCCATCTGCGATTAACGTGTTTCAGGTGAAAAAGCAAATAACCTCCATAGCTATTTTATCTCAGTACAAATTCAATAAAGATGACCTTGGCTTGGGACTTTGTAAAGTAAAGGTTAGCATATACCACTGAGAAGTGTAACAAATAGAACTAAGTATCTCCTTCTTGTCTCTCTGAGGCAAAAATAAAAAGAGCTGTACAGGAAATTTCTCTATAGAGATTGCCAGTAACATATGCACTCCAATATCCACCATCACTTCCTAATATTCAAAATAATTCTACATCACATACAGCTGATATTGATTTTTACATACAAATACCAATTCACAATTATGTTTCTGCAAACACAAGTATAATCTAGGCTTATGAAGCCAGCACCTTATTAATTTTGAAAGTTCTAATTTCTTCCTTTGCAACATTTCAATTTCACCAGTAATCTAAGGGTCATCTGTAATGTGGACCAACAGTAGCCTGGGCCCTTCAAAGGACATTTCCAGATGCTCAGCATGCATAACAAATCTCTCCAAGAAAGCACGCATAGAGGAGTTGCAACAGCTGGTGGTGCACACAGCTGCCAGCACCACAGGACAAAGGCAAACCACAAAGGAGAACCACAGTGGAAAAATCCTGCCTTCACAAAGGCCGTATGTTTTTTGAGTGACACCACAACTCCCCGTAGCATCACCACTGAGAAATGTCCTGGGCTGCCAGATCACCAAATCACTGTGAAGAGTCATACTCTATATTAACAGGAGTCATATACCTTTACCTGAATTCATAATAAAACTTTCTGATATAGATGATGCTACCTAATGTAAAAACATAAAGAGTTGGCTTCATTACACTTTTCCCTGCACTTGAGTAATAACCCATTTTTACAGAAGGTGGCTGGAGGTACTAGTGATTTAACTGACTCAGATGGGGTTAGGAAAGACAATGCCAGGTCCCTGAGTGCCTTAATGGCCCTGGCCAGCCTGGGAGGCCTATAGAGGCCCTTCTTGTTACAAAATCAGGAGCCAAGGGCCTCTATAGGCACACCAGCTGCAGAAGGAAAACTAAAGAATAGCTGAGAGAGCTGGCCGATATTATTGTGAGGCCACTCTATTGCCTTTGAAAGGTTACAGTGATCCAGGGATACCCCTGAGGACTGGAAGAAAGCAAATGTCACTCCTATCTTCAAGAGAAAGATTTGGGGAGCTACAGGCTGGTCAGTCACACATCAATCCTTGGAAAGGTGATGGAGCAAATCCTCCTGGAAGTGGTTTCCAAACATACGAAGGACAAGAAAGTGATTTGGAGTAATCAGCATGAATTAATGAAGGGGAAATGATGCCTGACCAGTCTGGCATTTGCACAACAAAATTACTAGCTTGGAGGATAAGGGGAGAGCAATGTAGGTTGTTTGGTAAGGCTTTTGACATAGCCTTCCACAACAGCCTCACAGACAAATTGAGGAAGCATGGACTAAGTAAGTGGTAAAGTGGATCAAAAACTGGCTGAAGTGCTGGACTTAAAGGGTTGTGGTCAGCACCACAAAGTCCAGCTGGAGGCCAGTCTCTGGTGGTGTACCCCAGGGGAAAATACCAGAGCCAATATTGAATTATTGAACATCAGCATATTTATTAACGGCTGGACAATAGAATAGAGTGCACCCTTGGCAAGTTTGCAGACAATACGAAATTGGAAGGAGTGGTTGATGCACAAGATAGCTGTGCTGTCAGTCAGAAGGACCTTCACAGGCAGGAGAAATGGACCGTTGAGAATCTCATGAAGTTCAACAAAAGGAGATGCAAAGTCCCGTATTTGGGGAGGAATAATCCCACATACCAGTGCAAGCTGGAACTGACTAGCTTGAAAGCAGCTTTGTAGAAAAGGACCTGGGGGTCCTGGTAGTCAAGTTAAACATGAGTCAGCAACATGCCCTTGAGGCGAAGAGGGGCAACAGCACCCTGAGCTGCATTAGGCAGAGCATCCTCTACAGGCTGAGGGAGGAGGTGATCCTGCCCCTCTTCTTAGCCCTGGTGAAACACATCTGAACTGCTATGTCCAACTCTGGGCTCCACAATATAAGAGGCACATAGGCATACTGGCACATGGGGAGTCCTGTATTTAAAAGCTTTCATGCAATGTTTGGCTCAAACAGCACAGTCCACTGGGTCTACAGAGCAAAACAGTTAGTGCCCAAAGATTGGGATATTTTCCCTCCAAATGTCTCTAGGCCTGTCTCATGGACTAAACACCCATTAAAGATCAAAGCACATCTTCTTGTTTAGTCTTTTCTGAAAGGAATCCTGTCTACATGCTCTATAGTTTTCCCATGGTGAGAATGAAAACATGGTAAAAGGACAATTCACTTTGAAGGCACAACCCTTATCCTAACTAAAACACTAATGGAGAAGCACTCTAGGTATGCTTAAATCAAGAGCCTGAAAGACTGGAGGAGGTCATTCTCTGTGCTTGTTCCTCCTACTTGTCCATAGCAGTTCATCACCAGGCATTGTTAATAATAGCAAGGAGAATATCTTTCTGGTGCTTTTCTCTGTCCTTCACGTCCTGCAAAAGATTGCCAAGGGGGACTCAGTGATTTAAGCCACTTTACAGAGTTGATAGGACTCTTCTATTTTACAGAAAAAAAAAAAAAAGATAAATTGTTGAATTAATAAAATTTGCATCTATTCAAATTACTGAAATATTTTCTTCAGAGTTCAGAACAAAATTTGTGCAAAACTATGGTTTCCAAATGCAGACTTTGCTTTTGTTCAAACAGAAGAGGACAGTGCTACAATATGACATGTATTTTCTCACACACCAGGGTTTTTAGTGGCAGCAAAGGGTGAAGAAGAGCATACCAGACAAACAATAAGGGGGACAACAGATAAATGATTCTAATCCTAAGAAAATACGTGGTAGACAACCGAACCAAATACAAAGGCAATGGGCTGAAGACCATGTACAGGAATGAGGACGTAATGGGAATACCAGACACATTTGATAGAAATACTGAGCTCTAGTCCTTGTTCCACACCAAGAGGCAGTAAAAAAGCACGCTTAGACCTATTACACAAATGGGACCATTAAGCAAATGGTTTGGATTCACAACATAACTGATGACTTCCACATGCCCTGATTACCACTTATGGAAGATAACTCTTCCCTCTCCTATCCTCCCCATCACTCCAGAGACATCCTCAAGCAACCAAGTAGAAAGGAAAGAAGAAGATATAGAAGAAAAAATTAATTTGAAACTTAGTTTAAAGTTGATGGTCTTTTCCACTTTATGAAATCAGCCATTATTTGTGCAAAGCCTACACTGCTGAAAGTGATCATTTATCATAATAGAAAAAGCAGGAGCTCCCCTCCTCCCCCCCCAGATTCATAGTTTGACAAATGAACTTTCCCATCTCCAATTTCAATGCAGATCTTATGGACAGTGAAGCACTGCTGCTCACAATAAATGACAAGAAACCCTGAAAAGTTACTTCTTGATGCATTTAATTTCTTTTGCAATGTTCTAAGGACTAGGGTATTAAAAGTGTGAGGTACACATGGTAACAGGGGTAACAGGACTCCAGTTGGATCAGGTAAAAATGGGTTACAAAATATTACGAAAAGGAATAACAAAAAATACAAACGATCTTAACCAGTCACATATCAGCTGCAAATCCAAATTCTGAAACCCTTGAAAATCAGCCCCAGGAAAAGTTCACAGCTGCTCTTTCAAAAGAAGGACATTCCAGTTCTAGGAGACTAAAAGTGGAAAAACCTCCCATGCCAACCCTCTACTTGATCTTTGTTGCCTGAAAGGTAAATTGCATCCTTGATGCAAGCACAGAGGTGACCTGGGTAACATTGCTGTCTTAGGACTTGTCACTGGGAGGTTTCTTCTTAGCTTCCACATCCTTCTTAAAATCTTCAAGCTTCTTTGCAATGTTAGGAATCTTTAAAGACAAAACCAAAAACAAACAAAAACCACATAAATTAACAAAAAATCCTGAGCCAAAGGAGCGACAATACCATAAACACAGCAAGAAATTCTGTGAAGTTTAAACTGGTTTCTAAAAGGTACTTGCTTCCAAGATGTTACCTTGCACAGAGGTTAAAACCAAAACAACATCAAGCAAACAGCAGATGAAAGCACCTCACATGGGGCTTCAGGAAATATTTTAGAATGTTAATACTAAAGTCAGCCAGCGGTGATGGGAACAGAAGGGAGGAAAACACATCACTTTACAGAAAATTTAGTAAGACCAGTCTGGCTTCCTCACTGAAAGAGGACATACTGCCAAGAACAAGCCGATTTAAACACTGATGCCCAGACTTTAACAATGACTTTCAGAGGGGAAATTAGATTGCACTATACTGGTCACAAACCAAGAGAAAAGGGATGCTCAAGAGCAGCAAATATGTTCTCAAGAAACTTATGAAGAAATACTTCATAAGTCCACCTTGTGGACCAGAAGAAGTATTTATTCCCACTGGGGAATTCCACTGCATTGCAAATTGGCAACCTTTTGTAGTTTCACACTTGAATGAAAATTCAATTTACCGCTTGTGAACTTCAAAACTTCAGCTTTCTCTTGCAAATAAAAGCATTTTGATATAGTAATCCAATAGTAAATTTTGACAACTTAAAAAAAAAAAGAAGCAACTTTTAAGGGCAAGGAACAGATTATCTCATGACACTAGCTAAAACTGGGAATTGACAACGTAGGTTTTTACAAGCTAACTGGTTAAGATGAAAGTAAAGCAAAGTTCCCTGTGGTAGTTGTGAAAAAAATTATGAGCTTTTACTTAATATGTAATCTGCCCACAGAGCAGAAGTTAATCCAAACAGGCTGCAGTTCTCTCATTGGACGGTTTGAGGCCGGTAATACAGGTAATATCATAAGTTTTTCTCTTCCCTGCCCTTTCAAAGTTAAGCTCCATTTGAGAAAGCAAAATTAAGAGCCCAGCCTGTAACATGCCTGGCTTATAAACTAAACCAAGGGAAGTCCACTGCTGTCAGCAGAATCCTCCACATGCTTATAACTAAGCATGTGCATGTACAGCTGCAGAATTAGGACCACATTATGAAAAGTTTATCTCAGATGTCATCTAAAACAAATCATCTTCAATACCAGCAATAAAACTACCATGTTCATCCTGCAAGTCAGTGGTACATTCCCAGGGAACCGTTTCCTGCAAATCAAAAGCGTAAGTCCCCCTCTTGTGGCAATACTTTACTAGTGCTGCTGGAAAAGCACTACGCCATGCTTACAATACATATAGATACATGTTCATTTGACTACATTTTCGTAACTTTTAAAGATATATATTGGAAAGGAACACCAGCCTTTTATTGGTACCCTTACTGGAGGTGACCAGACAGGAAGCATCACAAAAGTTTGCCCATGAGCAAGGAGCAAAAAAAAAAAAAAGAATTCTGCTAGCAAGGCGACTTCAATACTGAAGGTGAGAGGAAAGCAGAACATAAATGCCACCAGAGATTTGAGCCTTAACAACATTTTTTTTTTTAAACTAGGCTAATATTGATTACATAAGAAAGGAAAAAAATGTATATGTTAAATGTCATCCACTCCTCTAGCCTGTAGACAGCTAAGTGGCAGTGCTCTTACAAGGGATTCTACTGACTCTGCAGATATCAAAAGCTTGTGTTGAAGACAGCTCTAAATCCTCCACTCTAACTCTCACAGTGAAAATTCTCAGTTCACTGGGAGAGGTGAGGAAAGAAAGCTCACTTTCTCTCTTTTCTCACTGTGAGATAAACAGGAAAGAAAGATTGCAAGTCGATGTACTGTTTGAAGTAGGAGCAAATGCTGAATTTTCCCAAACAGCTGGCAAAACTTATTTTCATTACTAGTACAAGGGACAGAAATTTCAGACACTCTTAAGGATTCTTAAGTAACAAACAGGTGTACTGAGTGAAGAACGCTGTGACAGGCTATGACAGTCAGGAGACCAGTATTTTAATGCTGGTACAATCCATAAGCAGCTGCTAGATAGACCTTTTCTGCTTCTCCTCTCTCTATCTGTGTAGATGCCTGGTTACATCTGTGCTCTAGGGCCCCAACATCAGTTAGGGCTCTCGGTATTACTCTATCGCAGAAAAGATGTCGAAGAGGTAGATGTTTTGGTTCCACTTACATTTGAGTTCATCTGTAACTAACGTCAGTACAATCTGCATTCTGTTCAAATACAATAAACCACCAAAATAAAGACTGATTCAATGTTGATTGAGGGAAAACAGGCTTATATTTTCAGTTTGGAATAGGTTCACTTCTGAGAATGCAAGGATACTCACATCGTAGTTCTGAGCCAGATACATCCCAACCACATTGCCAAGAGTAAAACCAAGCTAAAAAGGAAGAAAGGGAGAAAAGAATAGTTAATATCCTTCTATCAAAAGCATGTTTGTTAAAACAACAACAAAAAAAAAAGAATATTGCAAGTCATATGAAGACTAAAGAGATTGAATTCCACTCCTATTTAATTTCTCACCTTTCTTCCACAGATAGGTGCAATTTTACCCAACTTCCTCACCAGGAAAACCTTACCATCATTTCCAAAATACAGCACAGCCATGTTTTCAATACACATCTCCAAGACTGTTTGGATCAGGCTATGATCATCTTTGTCTGCAAAATTCTTTGCATGCCCACGAAGGCAGTAATTCCTAAAAAAATGGGGGAGATAACAGCAAGGACCTACATATCACTGAGCTCTTGGTCCATGCCTGGAAAGCCTAAAGCAACACCCCACTAAAACAACGCTCAGTGCTGGGGAGGGACACACGCATGCAAAGACATAACACCGTAATACACAGTAACAAAAAGGTTCACAACCTTGAAAGTCAGAACAGAGGCTCTGACTGCAAAAAGATCCCAGCCGTACCTTAAGAGGTTTAAGAATAGAGCTCCCCCATCAGCTTAAACTGATGTAAAAATCCCACGTATCTTCTGCAACAACTAACAATCGTGTACCTTCCAGACCCCTTCACCCCTAAGAAATTAGTTTTCAGCCAAATCCGCTCTGACCTAAGGGCTCCTCTAAGGCAGGAAAGCACTGTTGTTTGGAAGCTGAGCACAACCTCTTTTGACAGCTGTGCAAACTCGTAGTTCCTAAAGGGTGTCTGTGAAACTGCTCCCTGGAAGAAGAACATGAGCAAAAGAGAAGCGCAGTTCCTGGCCCAGTCCCTACCTGCCAGCTGAGGAAGATCCTCAAGGGATCTTTGAGAGGGAAAGAAATTCCTCACTTCAAAGAAAGGTCATGAGATTTTAACTCAGCAGTTCCCCAAGGTCCTAGATTTTATTTCTACTGTTACGTTTAATAATAAGTACATCCTATACTATGAAAGCTCATTTGACTATTTTGGAAGATGAGATTTCTAATACTGTACCTTCATTCATTGTCAGTAGAGAATCACTCTATGTGGCAGCAGAGGCCAGTTCCATTTAAGAAAATTGTTATTGCTCATAGTCACTGCTGTCCAAATAAGGATATTTTAAGAAAAATAAAACCACTGCCAACACTAACAACTTTGCCATCACATACTGACTAGACATCTTTTCCATGCCCAAAGCAGCTCATCTTTTCCATGACTCAGACTCCATAAGCATCACTGGTGAAAAGCCAGCTACAGAAAACTAAAAATGGTTAAAAACCACCACATGAACCATGACTGCAAGTTACTCCAGTATTTTCTTAAACAAATTTTTGGTCTTGTTCTTTGTTTATTATTATTACTTTTTAAGGAGCTTCGCTTTAACAATTTAAGAAAAAGTAGAATCCTTTTCGTGTATTGCACTGGTTATCATTTGATCTTTGGTCTTGTGGCTTTAATTATCAGTTAAAGAAGTACTCTGGGAGATATTAACAAATATTTCACCAATGTAAACCAGACTTGTGATTCCTCTTAATGCAAAGCATCATTCTACCACAGGAGAACTGCCTGTATCCCTAGCACAGTCCGAGAACTCCCTTGAAAACACAAGCCAGGTCCTTGTTTATTAGCAGTATTCTAGCCTTTCACCCTAGAATATTTCCAAAGATGGGACAACTATCATATTCTGCTGCATGGTAAACCTTTTTCGATACAGATAGTACTGAGATCAGTACTCCCTTTAAGTGTACTCCTTTATTGAAAAGCTAGCACTGCATTCAAGAGCAATCCACCCAGTTGCATTTACTTTTATAGTTGATAATTCAAGCAGAGGGGAAAAAAAAAAAATCACTATTTAGAGTTCAATTACGTGGAAATCAAAACATACAGCGAATTAAAATGTACATGTTAACTAAAGACAACAGGTCTGATGAGAGTTCAGGGTCTTCCAATTTCCATCCAGCATTTCAAGTTGCATTTTAAACAAATGTTTATTTAACGCTTAACTCTGGACAGCAAAAATATAAGGTTTGTGAGATTATCCCTTTATCTCCCTGCTACAGCCCTAACAGGGGAGTGCAAGAGTCAAACACCCAATCTACACCCAAAGAAGGAAAGAAACCAGAACTAGTATATTGTTTTTCCAATTTCCAGGCGCTAAACAAGAAGTCATAATTAATAAGAGGTTTTTATCCAGCAACAAAAAAATATTAGCAGCAAGCAGTAGAGCTGAGAAACACAGACACTTTGAGGGGGGCTACGCGTATTTACGCTTACTGAGTGTTTTCAGCAGGGCGGAGAGAGACTATAAACAGCTACAGAAATGACTGAGGCTTTCATACTTGTTACTCTGAAGTCGAGATAAGAAATAGGCCTTATTTATTCATTTCATATAACCACGCAACACGCTCCCAAATTACAATAGGCCATCTCTTCTTGCTCTGCATCAATGCTTGGTATGAAACTTATTAACCAGCTAAATTACTGTTCCCCCAGCAAAAGATGAAAGGATATCACTTATTGTTTGTACTTACTGGGACATATCTGAACACAGCTAAAACCCTAGAGTTGTCCCTCACATCACCAAAATTAAAAGCGGGAGGCTGTTTCCATGCATTGCTACAGCAGAAACCAGCATCTTTTTGGTCAGGTAATTTATTTTCACATTTGGCAGTAAAAACACCAGCATTGCTTATGTATTTAATGAAGAGTAGCTAGGCATCTAACTTCAGACACCCAGACGAGTTTAGGGGAACATACAAAGACAGAAAGGAAAACGAAAAAGAGAAAAGTATCAAAACACCTAGCCTTTCCATTCTGCTGTTCTTACGGGGATTTAACGAAAGGCAGTAATGAAACGTGATCCCTTGCCTGAACTTCTATATATAAAGGTCCCCATCTCCAGCAATAAATTTTTAAAGGCGAGCAGAATGGCAGGGACTGAAAGCCCCCGCTCGCATAAAAGGAGCTCACAACGAAATCTGAGCAGCAGGAGGGCATCACCGTGACCAAGCAAAAACCTGCTGGACCTCCAAGGCAAATTAAGGGCACGACTTGGAGAAAAAAAGAGGCAGGAACTTCTCATCTTCAGGGCAGGATCAAGGCACCGCTCTGAGGAGAGCGGGGACAAACCCGGCGGCAGACGGCGGGTACCGAAAAACGGGGCGAGGCGACCCAAAGGGTCGGGGCGGGTTCGGAGGAGCCGGAGGAGGGAAACCGCCTGCAGCCGCAGGC